TTTTCAAATTTAAACAGCAATTACAGCCAAACCGATGAAACCACAACAATATATATGAATACTCGTTACATTCCCCAATTATTCAGCTTTCATATGCATCCTTTGTATCCATTCTATCTATTATAGTTTCCGAGAAAAACAGTAAAATATGAAAACACTGCTTTTTTTAAACTTTTTTTCAAATTTAAACAGCAATTACAGCCAAACCGATGAAACCACAACAATATATGAATACTCGTTACATTCCCCAACTATTCAGCTTTCATATGCATCCTTTGCATCCATTCTATCTTTTATAGTTTCCGAGAAAATCAATGAAATGTGAAAACACTGCTTTTTTTAACTTTTTTTCAAATTTAAACAGCAATTACAGCCAAACCAATGAAACCACAACAATATGTGAATACTCGTTACATTCCCCAACTATTCAGCTTTCATATGCATCCTTTGTATCCATTCTATCTATTATAGTTTCCGAGAAAATCAATGAAATGTAAAAACACTGCTTTTTTTAACGTTTTTTCAAATTTAAATAGCAATTACAGCCAAACCGATGAAACCACAACAATATATGAATACTTGTTACATTCCCCAAACATTCAACTTCCATATGCATCTATTGGATCCATTCTATCTATTATAGTTTCCGAGAAAATCAATAAAATGTAAAAACACTGCTTTTTTTAACGTTTTTTTAAATTTAAACAGCAATTACAGCCAAACCGATGAAACCACAACAATATGTGAATACTCGTTACATTCCCCAACTATTCAGCTTTCATATGCATCCTTTGGATTTATTCTATCTTTTATAGTTTCCGAGAAAATCAATAAAATGTGAAAACACTGCTTTTTTTTATCAAACGTTAAATTTTTCATTACTTCAAATTTTGAAAGCACATCAATAACACTTAAACTTATTAAAATCTTCTTCGAATTCGAAAAGGCCAACTTTAAGTTTACATATTTGTTTTTTCCCTTGTACAATAAACATACAGATTTAATGAGATCATTAACGACAAACTTTCACCCAAAAACGATTACATCTACTTGAGCATGAAGTTTCTCACTTAAGTAAGATTATCAACGTTGCAGACGTTTAACCAGCGGCCTGTGACACGTCCGTGTCGCAAATCATTAAAAAGTATTAACAAATTCGTCGTCAAAAAAGTATTATGTAAAGAAAAAAGCAAAGAAAAGAACGTCATGAATACAACAGTTTTTTTGAGTGTGTTTTAGTTATAATTTTTTTGTATGCATGCATTTATAATTTCGTGTCGTTCTGTGTGTTATACAACGACGCACGTTGCTAATCGCTTATATTCTGTACGTGCGTCGGTTAATTCGTTCGTGGCCCACGTGAATAATGGATTAATTCTTCGACTTCTTTCGTCGTCGTCGTCGTCGTTCTTCAAACCAAAACCATTGAATGCTCAGTTTCATATCGAAGAGTGCCGCGCGTTCGAAACAAACAAAACACACGCGGAAACAATTGCACAACGAATAAATGAATACGAAAAGTTCAATTATTTATTCACCGAATTCTGATTATTTATATATAAATAAACGAAACAAAACACAAAAAAAAAAGAAACAAACGTCTAAAAGAATAGCGGGAATATTAAAATGGAAATAATGGGAATTAGAATGAGGAAGAGGCGTTCGCAGAATAGTTAAAGTTTTTAGAAATTCCCGACGCGTTTCATCACAAAGTTGTTAATTGGACGCGCAACACACACACGACATTTCCTGGCTTAATCTATGAATATGTTTACGTATCTTAAATTTAACCTAAAAAGTTAACAACAACAACAACAAAAAAAAACATAACCTAACACTTGTATAGGTAATATTTTCGAAGCAACCTAACCTTAGTGTCAACTTATGTCAATTCTATAAAGTTTAAACAACTTGCAAATCTTAACTAAGCTAACCTAACCTAATTAATCCTAACCTAAAATGAAGTAATCATACAGAACAAACTAAGCTAATGTTGTAAAACCACAACCTAACCTAATATTATTAACTTTTCTCATCAAATTCTCATCATTATTTTGTATATAAAACAATAGTATGTAAATGATTTTATAAAACTGTGTGTGCAATCAATGATTCTTGTATTTTGCTTTATAATTTCGATATTTGTATGCGTTTTATAAATCGTCTCAAATGTTTATTTCAAACAAACTTGAATTAACAAATAATCTCGAAATGCAAATGAAAGAATCATAATTTTAAGTAACCGCAGATTCGTGAATTTTTAAACAAAACAAAAAACTTAAATATCGGTGGAACCAACATTAACATACGTCAATTCATTATTTTAAGGTTATAGTTTCAGTTAAATTGAAGTTATTTGAAAGTTAAATTTCTATTGAAACTGAAATATTTAAAGGTTACATTACGAGTTTCACTGTCTGTTTAACAAAATTGAAAAAAAAATGAACAACGTTGCAAAATTTTGCTTGGGCAACGGATTGCGGTAGAGGCGAGGAAGTCAATTGCCATGGAGACGGTCAATTGAAAACAAAGCAAAACAAAAAAAAATGAATGGAAAACAAGTGAAATTCGGTTGAACTTGTTTCGTCGCCTTGACTTTATTCGCGAGAACAGAAAATTAGGTCTCGAGAACAATAATCGCAATGCGATATCATTATTATGATTATTATTATTATTTGCAGTATGTAACAGCTAAGATTATCGTCTTAGGATTTGCTTAATTCGTGCGTAGGAGAGACCGCGCTCTCGAGATCCGTGTCAAGTTCGACGCGAAACACAATCCAAGAAAGTTTACCAGAGACGCCGCAGCATCCATCAATCGTCGTAACCTCTCTCTAATCTCATTTTTTAATTGATTAAAAGTTCACCATGAGAAAACAAAAATCATATTTCATTGTTTTACGAAAGAAAATTTTTGCAATACTTTTCTTATTCTAAGCGGAAATTTTTGATTTTTTTTATTATTATTTTTTTTCAATCAGAGAAGGTGACGTAACGTGTCGAAGGTTTCAGCCCTGCGTTCCCTCGGCATTGAACTATATATTCCGGTTTTGTTTTGTTTTTATTGTGTGTTTTTTTGTTTTGTTTTGTTTTTTTTTTTCCAAAGTCACCTATGATTATCTGCGTCGTCAAGGACTCGTTCCTTCGAGAGAGGCGATACACAATAATTAAAAATGGGGACAAGACAAGAAGCGACGTGTCTCCTCTCTCCCCCGCATATCATAAATCCGCAATACCGATCGTATCGAAACAATCGAGATCGAGTCGGAAGCATTTGTTGTTTTTGTTTCGAAGTTCGACCTACGATGGAGATGATATACTGAGGTCACATCCATCCAGGAACACCGACGCATAATTAATGCAATAGTCCTATTATGGTCTTCTCTTTGCTTCAGAAACGTAACATTTTTTTTTATTGAACTTACAACAACAAATCCAAGCCAAGTTGACATTTGATATATTAGTTGACATAACGTCAATAGTTGTCAAATAAGTTGTTACTTAAACACGCTGTCAAATAGGAAACGTCAAATATGACAGTTAGGACAAAGTCACAACGTACGATTTCTATTGTATACAATTTGTGACTTAAGCAAATAATTTATTTCTATAAATCAGCCAAGTTGACATTTGATAGTAGTTGACATAACGTCAATAGTTGTCAAATACATAACGTCAAATAAGTTGTTACTTAAATAGGAAACGTCAAATATGACAGTTGGGATAAAGTCACAACGTACGATTTCTATTGAAGACAATTTGTGACTTAAGCAAATAATTTATTTCTATAAATCAGCCAAGTTGACATTTGATAGTAGTTGATATAACGTCTATAGTTGTCAAATACATAACGTCAAATAGGTTCTCAAATAGGAAACGTCAAATATGACAGTTGGGACAAAGTCAGAACTTACGATTGCTATTGAAGACAATTTGTGACTTAAGCAAATAATTTGTTTCTATAAATCTGCCAAGTTGACATTTGATATATTAATTCACATAACTTCAATAGTTGTCAAATACATAACGTCAAATTAGTTGTTACTTAAACACACTGTCAAATAGGAAACGTCAAATATGACAGTTGGGACAAAGTCACAACGTACGATTTCTATCGAAGACAATTTGTGACTTAAGCAAATAACTTATTTCTATAAATCAGTCAAGTTGACATTTGATAGTAGTTGACATAACGTCAATAGTTGTCAAATAAGTTGTTACTTAAACACGCTGTCAAATATTAAACGTCAAATATGACAGTTGGGACAAAGTCACAACGTACGATTTCTATTGAAGACAATTTGTGACTTAATATGTTTCAGGAAATGAATAATTTGGTAATTCAATTGTTTCATATATATTTTTTTTTATTATAATCACAAGAAATCACAAGAGTGCGCGTATAATTTTTTTGTCCATATATATATATACTTTTTTTTTGTTGTTGTTGTTATTTTCAAATATTACATGTCAACTTCTGTACAATTTATTTATTCTTAAAATTAGAAGAGTGCATCGAAGAATAATCACAATTAGTTAATTTTTATTTCCTTAAATTTACATATACTCTGATCATCTTTTCACGTACACTTACACGCTGAAAAAGAGACGACGTACGGGAAAAAAATACATATAACCGAAGATTTTTTTCGTTTAATACGTCCAAACGTCAATAACTGAAGTTTCGAAGTGGTGCGATCGGACATGGCTGAAAGGCCCGTTCGCGAAAAACGAAAAAAAAAAAAAACCTGTCAAAGATTGTCAACATCGATGATGACAGATGATCTCAACTGTTACGAAATCATTTGTACTTGAAAAATAAACAAAAGTTGGACTAGATTAAATTTGATTTGTTTGTGAATTGAAGAAAAAAAAATGAAAGATCTGCATTATTTGACAGATGTCAAAGAGATCAATATATCATCTTATATACAAAACTTAAAGTTTAAAAAAATATCATTGTTACGTTTATATCTTCTATATATATATAAATATTCACTTTTTGGCAACGAATCTCTCTCTTTCTTAATTATTTACACGACTTCGAACTTGGAAATGTCAGCTTTGAGGCTATTCTCATTGACAGTTTCATTATAAAACGTAATCAAATTATTGTAAATCATAAACGAATACAATTTGTGAAAAAAAAAATGGAGCTTTTGTTGCGACTAATCTTTGATTAAGTCTCTTTACGAGTATACGGAACTGAAATAGATTATCTCTGCTTGTTTGTATTGTAGCTGATTGCAGAATGAAAGGAACTTTTGGTACCGCAAAGAAACTTTCTGGAAATAAATTGTGCAAATTAGGAAGAGCAAACGATTGCAAGAGTCGTCTGAGTTCAGAATGTCTTCAGGGTGGGCGCGACGGTGGCGTTTCCCTCGCAGTAGAACATGACTTTACCGTGCGAGCAACTGTCGCTGCTCTGGTCGAAGTCGACGAACATGAAGAGCGTCCCGACGCTTGCAACAATGACACCGAACGCTGCCAACGCCAGACTGGGCAATTTCCGGCGGGAGAAGACGCTGCCCTCCTCCAATCGCAGATAGATAATGGCGGGTAAGATGTATGCTAAGGGAACGGCAGCGACAACACCCTGAAACAAGCAACGAATTGGTAACGATATCTATTGGAAACGATGAAAGCTCAAACATTTTCAATACCAACTGAATCAAATATAAATATAAAACATAACCCTGACATTGACGTATTAACATTGACAGCTCCAATATGAATATGAATAATAACCGTGACATTGACAGCTGTCACTAAACCAAACATAAATATGACGTTTATCATTGACAGTTCCTAAAATAAAGACAAAAATGTGACGACTATCGTTGACAGCTTCATTTAAAATAAACAACTTTTTCTTGTATTACGTAATCATGAGTTGCGAAGTAGATTTGCAAAACATCCCGGACGTTGCGAATGAAAATTATAATGTCTGCACATTTAGAAAGTTTCAGAAGCGTTAGAATCACGAGGAGACTCGGAAAGTTTATGTAATTCCGCGTCGTGTTTCGTGTACTTTCGTTGAAAATGTAATAATAAAAAAAAATAATAGAAGAAACTAACATATTTTCCAGCGCAATTGCGAAACGGGAATTACCATTTTTTTTCAGTGCACACTCGAGTTACTTAGTCTTCAACGCAAATGATTACTCTTCGCATCCATTTGCATATATAACGTGATTCTCTTGCTTTCATCTAAACGACACGACACACATTTCATTCATACGGCCTTCTCTGTCATTCCCTTACCACAGTCAACAACAAGGACATCGCGTATACCTGCTCTATATACTCCCCCATTCACCGTGTTTCCATCGCTGAATTATTTAGTCCACGTCGGACGTTAGTTTCCAGTGGAATTTGGATCGCAGCGTATTCCGACTTTGAATAATTTAAAATCCCTTTGACGTCGCAAAAGTTCTCATATTCCGAGTCCATCCATCTCATATTATTTGTTTTTTTTGCATAAAACTCTCTAAAAGTTAACATTTACAAACTGAATTTTACATACAAATTTTATTTTAGTTTTCATGGAGATGAGAAGTGGACGCGCCGGGCACTCTGATTTTTAATCATAACTTTTCGTAGTTTTAATGTCAATTTAAATATGTAGATTGGAATTATATCGAAAGCACACAACTTATAGTAAACTAAAGTTATGTAAATGTCATTAAGTTAAATTGAACAACAAAAAATTAATTATTATTATTAGTGTTAATAAGATAATCACGTTTACGTTCTTGCGTCATATTAAGTGGATTAAGTAGTTTTTTTTTTTCTGTAATTATCTTTAGGTCTGATGTTCAGTTTTATTATTGCAATCGCGTAATGTGAAAGCACGTAGCGCGGAACACTTTCGGATCGATATCCATTTGCAGCTTTAATTTCGTAAAATTGCGTAAAATGCACTCACGTTCAGCTCGAGGACGACGCCCAAACAATCCGTTGCCATTGAGATAAAGTATGTGCTTCCGATGATGGCGAGGGTGAGGAGGTAGTGGGTGCGCTCGGACATCGGCACGTTGGCGTTCTTACCGAGGAGCGACGTCTCCACCACGTCCCTAGTCACGAAACACTCGATGGGGAAGGTCAGCAGGATCTGCACGCTGAAGAGGACTCGGCTGAAGTTCATCAGGTCATCGTCCCAGCAGTAGTTCTCCAATAAATCGCCTGCGAAAATCGAGGTCGATGGAGAAAACCTGTCGATGAAGAGATGATATATATATACCTTGAGAGTATCCCGCGAAGGTGGCGTATCCGGCGACGCCGAAGAGGAACGATACGCACATCGATGTGAAGATGGAGATGTGCGTGACGATGTCCCATCTCTTTTGGTTGGCCTCGTGGATGGAGCCGTAGATCAGGAAGGTGTTGTGGTGACACATGAAAGCTGCAAGGTTATATAATTTTAGGTTAGGTTGTTGTTGTTGTTTAGGTTAGGTTAGGTGATGAATTACCGAATGCCATGATTGCTATAGCAGGAACGATGTCCCAATTGACCAGTCGCCACATGTTCGAATCCGGAGGGCTGTTTTGCAAGAAACAGAAACGCGCGTTGTTACACGTCAGAGCGATTCCCTAGTGTGTGTGTGTAATCGCTTACATGAGCTCTCGCATCGTGCTGATCTTGATGAGGATCGAGACGAGGATGAAGGCGATGCAGATGAGACTGAAGAAGGAAACCTTCGCCAAACGAGCGATGTCGCGATACAAGCACAAAGGAATGGTTATGAGGAGGGTGGCCACCAGGACGACCACTTCTCTTCTGCCCAGCACCGAGTCCGGTTCGCATCCCGTTATCCGGACTATCACCTTCGTCAGCGTATCACCGACGACGACGTTGTACGAAACCATGGCTACGAGTAACAAAAAAAACAAAAAACAAAGTTAATTGCAACTGTTTCCGTTTGTAGCAAATCGCACCTGTGAACGGGTAGATGAATTGCAGGAAGCTCAGCAGGATGTAACCGGGACGACCGAACGCCGCCTCCATGATGCCCTGGTAGGTGAACCGGCCGCTCAGATTGCCGCATCGCACCATCAGGATCAGAGAGTAATCGGTTATGTAAGCCACCAGGATCAGCAGCAGGATGCCCAATCCGAAGCCCGCTTCGTGGAACGCGTACGGAATACCTCAACAATCAAAGAAAATCCAATGAATCAAAGCAAACGTAATTAATCGAAAATGTAAGATTTGAAACAGGAATTGTGGATGCGCCGGGCGCCGAAACACGTACATAATTTAGTAACCTTGGTTACGGACTTTATTGTGTATTTCGACATGAATTCTTTAGATCGCCGCATCATTCAACATTTAATACCGAGAAACAAAGAGAACGTCGCATGAATACTGAAATATTTTCATGCGCATTTTCCGCAGATT